TCCCAAAACTTTGGGAGGGTGAAGTGGGAGAATTGCTTGAGCCCAGGAGTTTGAGACCAGCCTGGGCAACATAGGGAAATCCCAGCTCTACAAAAAATTCAAAGAAAAAAAAAGTCCATACAGTTACGTGTCAATTACAAATTTAAAAATATTTACAAAGTCATTTGTCATTTTCACTCTTGTTTTGAGTACTCAGTGCTGTTCACCAAATGGTTAAACGACATGCTGTCTTTATTACGCCAGCTCCTGAGAGCTGATTGTGTACTCTCAACTCTGTTTAGAGGTATCAGGTAGATAGTTTGAACTCAGCCATGGTGAAGTATTTACACAATGAAAATTAGCAAAATTGGGGCTTTTTCATGAATAGCTGGTTAAACGATTACCAGCCCACCACTAGCTGTTAACATACATAAACAGCCAGGCACAGTGGCTCACGCCTGTAATCCCAGCACTCTAGGAGGCTGAGGCAGGCAGATCACGATGTCAGGAGTTTGAGACCAGTCTGACCAACATGGAGAAACCTCGTCTTTACTAAACATAAAAAATTAACCAGGCATGGTGCTGCGTGCCTGTAATCCCAGCTGCTCAGGAGGCTGAGGCAGGAGAATCGCTTGAACCTGGATGTCAGAGGTTGTGGTGAGCTGAGAGTGCACCACTGCACTCCAGCCTGGGTGACAGAGGGAGACTGTCTCAAATACAAAAAACATACATAAACAAAAACTCATTGTAGTCCTATAATACATACATATTTTTGACATGGGATCTTAGGTTGAACTCAAGAGTTCCTCTGGGTTCAGCTTCCCAGGTAGCTAGGACTACAGATACCTGCTACCATGCCTGACATAGTCCTTAATTGTGTGTGTGTATGTGTGTGTGTGTGTGTGTATGGTGTGTGTGTGTGTGTGTGTGTGTGTGTGTCTCACTCTGTCACCTATGCTGGAGTGCAGTGGCGCAATCTCAGCCCACTGCATTCTCTACCTCCCAAGCTCAGGTAATCCTCCCACCTCAGCCTCCTGAATAGCTGGGATCACAGGCATGCACCACCACACTGGGCTTTTTTTTTTTTTTTTTTTTTTTTGTATTTTTTTGTTGAGACAGAGTTTCACCACTTTGCCCAGGCTGGTCTCGAACTCCTGGACTCAAGCTATCCTCCCACCTCAGTCTCCCAAAGTGCTAGGATTATAGGTGTGAGCCACTGCACTGGGCCTCAGTCCTTAATTTATTTTTTTAAATTTTAATTGTATTTTTTATTTTTATTTTTTTGAGACAGAGTCTCACTCTGTTGCCTAGGTTGGAGTGCAGTGGTGCAATCTTGGCTTACTGCAACTTTTGCCTCCCATGTTCAAGCAATTCTCATGCCTCAGCCTCCAGAGTAGCTAGGAGTATAGGTATGTGCCACCATGTATGGCTCATTTTTGTATTTTTCGTAGAGATGGGGTTTCATCATGTTGGCCAGGTCCTGGCCTGCCTCCTCCTCTCAAAGTGCTGGAGCCTGACTTCAGTTCTTAATTTTTAACTGTGTAAAAGGAATCTGAGACCAAAAAGTCTAAGAATCACTTGATACAGTGATTTTTTTATCTATGGAGCTAGAAAATCTTACTAGAGGAAAAAGCAAAAGGCAAAAAGCAACAAACAAATAAATAAATAAATAAAAAGAGACTTTCAGACACTTGACCCTATCAAATCTTTTGCAGGGATTCATACTAAGTTGCTTTCACCAAAATACCACCACTGCCTTTCTCCCATGGGGGTCATTGTTGACCCAGTCTTTCCTCAAAGACCAGGAAGGTCTGAGGTTGAATGAAGACCTGCTTCTGAAATTCGAAGAGAGCCCAAAGGCTACTGGGAAGGGAAGGGCTGCCACCTCCTCTAGCAAACACCAGAGATCTATCGCCTTACGTCCTAGGGCTACTTGTGGACCAAAAATGGAACTTCAAGGTACTGCTAGGAAAAGAATGGCACCAGATCAAGTTTTCCAGATAATGGATTCCAACTCCAGCAAGTGGGGTAAGAGGTTCATGGCACAAATATATTTGTGTTAGGTGAATCAATCACCAGGATACTAAGATCTGCTACTTTCACAAACTGCTCTGAGGCCACTTAAATATGGAAGGAACTTCATAGCCAGCTTTTCCGCTCCAGGCTCCTTTTTAACTATTTAATGTGGTATGGAAAATGTCAGCTTGCTGAGGATTTATCATCTCATTAGAGAGTTCCCTAGGAAGGAAAAGGCTGAAATTTTAAAAAAGGATTTACATTAAAGAATTCAATAGGGAGTTGATTATGTTCAGAATCACATCTTCTTGTTCTGTGACACACTGAAAACAAACTTTAGAGCTTTTTCATCTCCACTGCACAGAGGTCTGATTACTTCTGTTTAAAGACGGGGATCGAGGGCCAGGTGAGGTGGCTCGCGCCTGTAATCCCAGCACTTTGGGAGGCAGAGGCGGGCAGATCACCTGAGGTTCAGAGTTCGAGACCTGCCTGATCAATATGGTGAAACCCTCTCTCTATTAAAAAAATAAATACAGAAAAAAAAAAGATGGGGATCTGCTGACGAGTTTCAGCCAGCTTCTTCAGGTCTGTCTGAATACATGATTGCTTCTTCAGTGCCAGCTTTGGCTAGACTGAAAGCAAAGGCTCATTACGGTGCTGTGTCCCCAGGCAACACAGAAGGCTTTGTCATCTCGGGCAGGAGAGTGTGGCCACATACACCTGATTATCAAGAGCCTGAAGCAATTCCCAGTGTGCTGGTCCAGTGGTCAAACTGAAAGCCCCTGGATATACCAACAGCTGGCAGCCTCTCTGCGTATAGATCTGTGCAAGCTCTGCAAACCGGATGTCGTAGCCGATGCCCAGACCCATTCTGCAGTAGGGAGTATTAAACATGGAGAAACTATCGCCCAGACTCAACGTTTTTAAGATTCTTGAAATGTCATTTTTCCGGGAACACCAGTGTCAAGCAGATGGGCCGTTCTGTGCTTTACTAATAAAGTTCCATGAGGCTCAAACGCAGCACAGGTGTTATATAATTTCCCGGCATCCCCTTCAGGGATGGAGCCTCTAGTGAGGCTGTATTCCTCTGCTACTTCAGAAAGCTTCTGTGTGGATTTACCAGGAATTTTCGCTGCATATTCAGGAAAATATTTTGTGCCATATGGAGAATTACAGCATTCCAGCAAAGAAACTATTTGGGCTCCTTGCACGGCTGTCTCCCGGACAAGGCTACAAGCTCCAGTGTTGTTATCTGATTTGATAAAGAAACGAAGCTGGATGACGGCCAAGTGGAAAGTTGCCATAGCCCTCCCGGGAAGCACCAGCAGCGGCACTGGCTGAGTGCAGGTGTCCCTATTACTTTTCTAAGTCACAGAAAATAAAACAAAAACGTTAACTTTATCCTAAAGCTTTTTTTTTTGAATCTTACTCTGTCGCCCAGGCTAGAGTGCAGGGACACGATCTCGGCTCACTGCAACCTCGGCCTTCCGGGTTCAAGCGATTCTTCTGCCTCAGCCTCCCAAGTAGCTGGGATTACAGGCACGCGCCACCGTGCCCGGTTAATTTTTGTATTTTTAGTAGAGACGGGGTTGGCCAGGCTGGTCTCGAACTCCTGACCACGGGTGATCCACCAGCCTTGGCCTCCCAAAGTGCTGGGATTACAGGCATGAGCCACCGTGCCCAGCCTCCTGAAGAATTCTTAGACTCTCCTCCCCCAGTATATCTGCTAACCTTAATTTGAGAAACATGCGGAGTTTTCAGGACTGAATTGACGTGAGAGGTGAGGCAAAAGGAAAAAGCCTGATACGATGGCTCCACGATCTCTGGTCTGGGAATGCTTGGTGATCCTATTCAGTGAGATCAGGAGTAAAAAACAACAACAACAAAAAAGATACATTCAGAAGAAATGAGGAGGTCAGTTTTGTTCAGTCTCAATTGGAATTTCCTGCAATATATTCCCTTTCTGGTAGAATAAGCCGGAGTTGGAGATATTTGGTAGTCAACAACGTCTGTGAAAGCGGGAGTGTTGATGTGGTCACGCAGGAAGAACATGCAAAGCTAAGAGGGAAGTTAGGCGAGGATAAACAGCATAGGTGAACAAAACGCCCGGAGAGTAGCAGTTAGCCAGGGGTAGGGTGGGGGATGGGGAGAGGAGCGGTAAGGAAGCCAAAAGAGGACAAAATATAAGAAGAATGAAATGGGCAACGCAGATCAAGTAACATAAAGACCTAAAAGAGTTACTTGTATTTGGTAATTAAGATATGAAGGTGGTTTCACTTTACTGAAATTACACAGTAAGTGAAATTTCAGTAGAATGTGGGGACAAAGTCTGATCACAGTGCATCTTAAGAGCAGAGAAGTGAGGAAATTTCGTAGCTAATAATTCAAGACTGTTTGGCTTTGTTGTGAAAAACGTAGTTGGAGGGGACTGGACCTGAAAACAGTGCAATAAACACGAGGTGGGGAATTGAGGGAACTCCCACTTCACACCGAATGGCCTCGATTTTCTTTGTACTATATGAGGTAAGGTCCTCTGTAGAGACTAAGTAGGGCGGAGCTGGGGCAAATGACTTTGGAGACTTGCTGAATGTTAGGAGAGAAATTTCGGCCCAGGAAATAGGCAAAAGGAAAACTCAGAGGTGCGGAGGACCCGGCTGAGGGTGTTTGACTATGAATTCAACGTGGCACCAAACTCAAGACTATGTGACTTTCTCTTCCAGTTCAGGCCTGCAGAGCGTAAGACGCAGAGAATGCAGACGAAGGTTGACTTCTACTTAAATTCCTATCCGCAAAAGACCAGACGTATGGACTCTAAGGCCTGTGGCCAATTGTGCGTGGGTGCCTACTACTGATTTATGAAAAACACAGAAGGGCCAGCGTGTTTGCCTTCTAAGGCTTATTGTTCCGCAGCGTGGGCATCCTCAGGCCTTCACAGAAATCGAATTTTTTTTTTTTTTTTTTTTTTAATTACGAGGCTGGGATAAATCTGGTGATAGGATGCGGGACTGTGCGTAACTTTCCTTCTCTCCGGATCCATCCCGGGGGAGGCTGGGCGGGCGGCTGCTGCGGTCCAGGGGTGGAGGTCAGGGCTCCGACCAGGCGCAGCCAGGCGGAAGCGCCGCTGCCATTGGCCGGGAGGCGGATTTTACCTGCGCGGGACCCGGGGAGCAAAGTCCGAGGCGCGGGGGGAGGAGGCGGCGGCCGGCAGCGCAGGTGGGCCGGCGTCCTCGCCCGGCAAGATGCCCCTGAGGCTGCGGGGGAAGAAGGCCAAGTCCAAGGAGATCGCCGGGCGGCTGGAGGGCGAGCCGACGGGCGCGGGCGGCGGGAGCGTCTCAGCGCCCCCGGCTCCCGCACCCAAGCTGGTCTTCCACGCGCAGCTGGCGCACGGCAGCGCCACGGGCCGAGTGGAGGGCTTCTCCAGCATCCAGGAGCTCTACGCCAAGATCGCGGGCGCGTTCGAGATCTCGCCGTCGGAGGTAAGGCGCCAGGTGCTCAGCCTCTCCCGCCTCTACCCCGCGCCGCGCGGGCTTCGGTGCGCCCAGGCGGGTGGAGCTGCGCTTCCCGGAGCGGGAAATCCGATGCCGGGTGGATCCGCCGGGGGCGTCCCGGGGAGACGTGAGTGGGCCTTCCCGGGAAGGGAAAAGGTAAGTCTGCAGGATCGGAGAAAGTCGCATTCCCCTTGGCTCGGAGATCTGGCCTCGGAGCAGCGGGTGCGGGGAGGCAAGCTTTCTTCCGCTTGCAAATGTGTTTGCTCCAGTTGCGGTTCAAGGCGTAAGCACCTTCCCAGACTGGAGATCTGGCGGGGCAGATTCCTCCACCTCATCTGGACTTTACTCTCCTGTTTCCTCCGCAGGCGTGACAGTCACGTAGATCATCTCCCCAAATTAGCGAAAAAAAAAAAAATTTTTTTTTTTGAAGTGCCTTCCAGGTGATAGCCAGATTAAATAGGAAGAAAAAAATTGAAGAGCCTTCCAGGTAAACCCAACCGAGGCTCACTTTCCCCTCACCTATCATTTCTAGCACCAACACCATAAATCTTTTGGTGGTATTTCCAAGCAGTTTAAAAAGCTGGGCTGTTATTCCAAGAGTGGATTACTTGGAGATTCATACTTAATCACATGGGACTAGTTAACAAAATTTTCACGAGTAAGATCAGCTGTTTTACATCATAGCCTTAAAAAGGAACTGAAATTTGCTTTAATTATATGGCATGCAGGCCTGGAACTGAGTTTGGCGTAGGCGTGACCTAAAGCACTAGTTTATATGAACGTTTATGTGACCCCTTTATTTGTGCTGACCCCAGTGAACTGCAAAGGTAGGTGTGAGAAGTTAGCTCAACAAAATATTTTGTCCACATTTCTAGGAAAAGCACATAATTTTGTTGCCCTGGACTCCCAGGAGTGCAGTGAACTGTCTTTGAGTGGCATATATAGGCACCTGGAGTTCTTTAATTAGTTGTTTATCAGGTCTGTTCAAGGGAAATCGAGGTCAAGGCAAAATGCCAAGAAGAGACGAAGGGGAGCTTGAAGGGTAACCCTTTGTTCTTTCGAAGTTCCCAGGTACTAAGGGGTAAATCTTGCGATTCCCATCTGTGAATTTTTCGTTTTGATATAGGATACTAATAATAATACTTTACATTTATACAGGTTTTTTTTTTTTTTTTTCCCCAAAAAAACACTTTCCTAGGACAGTCTCCTTTGATCATTAGAGGAGGCAGGTGGCAGGTTAAATATGGTAACTTGGACATGGAGCCAGGCTCTACCATTTACTAGCTGTGTGGACTTGAAGGAGTTTAACCTCTCTGGGTTTTAGCTGTCTATAAAATAGGGATTAGAATACTTGGGCCGGGCGCGGTGGCTCACGCCTATAATTCCAGCACTTTGGGAGGCTGAGGCGGGCGGATCATGAGGTCAAGAGATTGAGACCATCCTGGCCAACATGGTGAAACCCCGTCTCTACTAAAAATACAAAAATTAGCTGGGTGTGGTAGCACATGCCTATAGTCCCAGCTACTTGGGAGGCTGAGGCAGGAGAATGCTTGAACCCGGGAGATGGAGGTTGCAGTGAGCCGAGATCTTGCTCCAGCCTGGTGACAGAGCGAGATTCTGTGTAAAAAAAAAAAAGAAAAAAAAAAGAATACTTGTCTTGAAGAGTATTGTGAAGACTGTAGTCCATATGTAAACATATCAGATTGCATAGTTTATGGTCAGGGCTTAATACGTGATAACTAATGTTATTAATACCTAATAGTGAAATGAAGAGCTGAAGTGCAAAGATTGGCCCTTAGCCAGGGTCACATACATAGCAAGAAAAATCTGGGCTGTAATTTAAACTTGGATCTTCTGATTCCTAAGCTAGTGAGCTTGTTAGCATACTTAACTGACAACTTTAAATGTCTCTCTAGTAACCAGGGATTTCAGTTTTAGTTACAGATGATCCTGGGTTTATGGTAGTTAGACTTAAGATTTTTGACTTTACCATGGATTTATTGGGAGGTAACTTCCTGGACTTATGATTTTTCCACTTTCATATGGGTTTATTGGGATATTAAATGCATTTTTGACTTAGGATATTTTTGACTCATACTGGATTTATTGGGACGTAACACCTTGATAAGTAGGAACATCTGTATTTTGCATTAACAATTCTCATCCTTATATATGACATTATTCTGAGCTCAAGATACATGATTTTATTCAATCTACTTAATCTCTAAGAAGTAAATACTATTACTAATATCCCCACTTCACAGAGAGGAAACAGGCTTTGAGGTTCAGAATTTTTTCAGAATTACACATAGCAAGTGGCAGAGCCTGGATTTGAATTCAGTGCATTAAAAAAAATATTTTCTGTTTTCCTTTTCTTTTTTTAACGAGGTGGAGTCTCACTCGGTTGCCCAGGCTGGAGTGCAGTGGTGCGGTTATAGCTCACTACAGCTTCAAAGTCCTAGGCTCAAGCAATCTTCCTGCTTCAGCCTCCCAAGTAGCTGGGACTACAGGCATGTGCCACCACATCTGGCTAATTAAAAAAAACTGTTTTTTTAGAGATGTAGTTTTTCTATGTTGCTCAGACTGGTTTGAACTCCTACTCTCAAGTGATCCTCTCACTTCAGTTTCTTGAATAGCACAGACATGGAGCCATTGGGCCCATCTTTTTTTTTTTTTTTTTTTTTCTCCCATGAAGCTATGTTGTTTCCTGTTTTCCAGTGTCTCAGCAATAGCTTGGTAGCCATGTTCAACATTTTCAGTGGACTGACTTGAAAGGTCAGATTCCAAGATAATGTACACCAGGTGTTTTGATGTGTTATATAAAGTTTAATTATAAAATTTTGTAATTCTGGTATATATGTATTTTACTATGTTTATGCATGTAACCAACATTAATGGAAGTTTTTCATCTGGATAAAAAAAGTTTATATGCAGGATAAATTATTGGTCATCATAGTATAGTATGCATAAGTATCTTAGTGGTTCACTTTGAAACAGAAGTAACTTATTAAAATAAAATGCATGCCAAGGAGATTCCATTTTCGTAGCCCATTTCCCTAGTAAGCAATTATCTCAACAATAATGATGTAAATGCTTTTTTTGTTGTTGTTTGTTTTTTGAGATGGAGTCTCGCTCTGTCACCCTGGCTGGAGTGCAGTGGCATGATCCTGTCTCACTGCAACCTCCGCCTTCTGGGTTCAAGTGATTCTCCTGCCTCAGCATGCCTAGTAGCTGGGATTACAGGCATGTACCACCATGCCTGGCTAATTTTTGTATTTTTAGTAGAGACGGGGTTTCACCATATTGGCCAGGCTGGTTTTGAACTCCAGACCTCAGGTGATCTGGCTGCCTTGGCCTCCCAAAGTGCTAGGATTATAGGTGTGAGCCATTGCACCTGGCCCTGTGATGTAAATAAGTTTTGAGATGTCAGTGGGGACAAAAACATTTGTACCCCTGTAATAGAATTGAAAAGACAGTTAACTCAGACATCCTGCCTTTTTTCTAGAGTGGTGGCTGTAAGGATATAAACAGCACTATATGAAGAGCTATCCACTCTTTATTGAGGAAAAAGGGAAGGGACTTGTCAGGTGGAGCAGATAACTCAGGACCCATAATATGCCCACAGCTGTGCTAGGCCTATAAGCCTGCAGTGTGTTCACTCCATTCTCACTAGAATCTTTTCATTTTACAGTTGAGCTAAGTGAGGCTCGGAGAAGTTAAATAGGCTGGTATGAGGCTGAGGCAGGATTTGAATTCTGGTTTCCTGGTTCCAAGTCTATTGTATAGCAGCTGTGAGATTCCTGGTAGCTGCATTAAAATTCCAAATACAAACTTGAAAAAAACCTTTTTTTTTTTTTGAGATGGAGTCTCTCCGTTGCCTGGGCTGGAGTGCAGTGGTATGATCTTGGTTCACTACGTCTCTCTCCCATGTTCAAGCAATTCTCCTGCCTCAGCCTCCCGAATAGCTGTGATTACAGGTGCACACTATCATGCCTGGCTAATTTTTGTGTTTTTGTAGAGGCAGGGTTTTACCATGTTGACCAGGCTGGTCTTGAACTCCTGACATCAGGTGATTGGCCCACCTCAGCCTCCCAAAGTGCTGGGATTACAGGCGTGAGCCACTGTGCCTGGCTAGTTCCAAGTCTATTACATAGCAGCTGTGAGATTCTTGGTAGCTGCATTCAAATTCTAAATACAAATCCAGAAAAACCTCTTTTGTAAACAAACTTTTTTCAATAAAAGCTTCAGACTTAACCACAAACATATTTATTGCCTCAAAACGATGCTGTTGTGAGACTGACAGTTGTGGATTTCAGCTAGTGTTTTGTGGTCCCTGAAGGAATAAGCTAATGAAGACTATGAATCAGTTGAGATTTGTTATTAAGTTGAAACAGATGGCCAGTTATGCAAAAATTCCTCATATCTCATGCCTTTTTTGAAAACAAATGAACAATTCAGTAAAAAAAAAAAAAAACCCTATAAATTAATCTCATCAAAGAACAGTTAAGTCATACATAAATGCAAGGACTCTTCTTGAGAAAGTTAATAAATACCATCTTTAAAAATATCCAGGTTACATGAAAGCTCTTGAGCTATGGTCATAAATTTTGTTGAAGGAGCATTTTGAATACTTGACTACTGTAACTGTTCGGCATGTCATTTGTACCGTGATATATGTTCTTAGTTCTCTATTATGCAGAAAGATTGTAGGAAAAAATGAATGTGAAAACTTCTTAAGATAAGCTTTATAGCTAGAAATTTTACATGTCCAGAAACTGGAAATTCAGATGCAGTTTCTCTGAAGAATTCAGAAATTATTTCCTTTTACTTGTCTGGATTAGTTAGTGTGTGATACTAGATACCAAATAGTTCACTGAATAATAAATGAGTAATTCAGTGACTTATTCCCTCTCCATGCATAAAGTAGTTAAAGAAAGCAGAGTACTTAAGAAGCAGAAAAGGCAAGAATTGTGATTTTTAAGGTGAGA